AGGGTAGCCCATCCTGTGGTCTGTGTGGATCCCAGTGCAGTGACGGGGACACTGGCCAGCATGTTAGCCCATCCTGTGGTCTGTGTGGATCCCAGTGCCCCAGTGCAGTGACGGGGACACTGGCCAACAGGTTAGCCCATCCTGTGGTCTGTGTGGATCCCAGTGCCCCAGTGCAGTGACGGGGACACTGACCAGCATATTAGCCTATACTGTGGCCTGTGTGGATCCCAGTGACGCAGTGCAGTGACGGGGACACTGTGCTGTAAAAATGGCGCCTTCCTTCGGATGATGGATGAGACATAAAACCGAGGTCCTGACTCTATGAGGTCATAAAATATGGACATCTTTCAAAAGAGTAGGGGTGGTACCCTGATGTCATGGCTAAAACTGCCCATTGTGGTCCTTTCAGATCTTGCCTCCTAATCATCCCCTGTATCTAATGGCACTTTACCACCGGTATACAGGAACCAAGCCGTACCCAAGCCGTGCCACAAAAACAGATTAGTTACAGCACAGTTTCATCTCGCTTCAGTTTTCCACTGCAGGGGGGTCGGCTCGGTAAAGGCGTGGCCGGGTTTGGAGAGGGACAGTGACCTAAAACCGAAGAGACTTTTTTCTGTTCACACGTTGAACATCATGATTTACTAGGTGTTGATTTCCACTAGCATCAAATGCTATGGGAATTAGCATTCGCTTGTGTAAATTTGAATTACGAATCCAATCCATTCAGCTGTTCTCTAGTAATTTTTAAGTAGGTGGTTGGAAATGTTCAAATTCCCAGTTATCGGGAATGCATCAATATATCGCAGTGTGTGATACATCTGATGATGAATAATGTCTAGAATATTTCCCTGCATTTCAACCAATCAGATGGTGGTGACACCACCAGCTGAGTTTGGTCACACTTTCACCCCTGGTATTCATGCAGGGCATTGTCAGCGTGGGTACAGCTCAGGTACAGCTTGAATAGTTTACAACGGAAAACTGTCAGTTTGTGGTATGGCTCGGTTCTTGATGGCAGTGGAAAAGCGCCATAATTAATGAAATCCCTGGTTCCCTGCTCCTTCACCACCTTAGCTATTGTGTGGTGAGCGTACTGGTGCAGAATGGCTGCTATTACATAATCCAGGCAGGTGCTACACAATGGTGATGGTTGAAATGACTCCCCATTGATTTTTTATACTGGTTTGGGTGTTTTGAAAAGCACTGTATAAATGTAACATTCAGAAATATACAGTGTGATTAACTGAACCAGTTAAACCAGGAAGGTGGATGGGAATGGAAGCCAGTAGACATCCCATTATCCTTAACGCCAGTGGATGTTCCCATGTAGATAACAGGATGTAGGAGAGGGTTGCATATGCGGATGGCCTGTAGTAACTTTTGGAATAAATGTGTCCACAGCATGGTATCACCCTATAAAGATTCCTATCAGGGGCATCCCATAGTGAGCGGCTTTTTAAATGCATCATTTCGTTTTTTTATGACTTTCCCAGTCTGGCAAATTTTACCAGCTGAGTGGATTTACTACCCTATAAATATAAACCTGATGAAAACACATGGTGTGTGTGTGTGTGTGTGTGTGTGTGTGTGTATGTCACCCACGTACCTGTCTCTCCTCTACAGGTACATCGTGTTAACAACCTCGGCCGGCATCATGGACCATGAAGAGGCTCGACGGAAACACACTGGAGGGAAAATTCTTGGCTTTTTCTTCTAAATTATTAAAACACACGTGCAAATAAATCCAGTTCCACTGGCTGTATTGATTCCTGTTTTTGTCTCTTTTCCAGTCTGTCATTTTCCTTCAGTTGAACTAATTAACGTTCCTTGATATTGTAGGTCCATTAAGTTTAATGTAAAAAGTTTGACTATTTGGGGTCACTGTATGTGACTACAGCAGTGAGTTCCCTCATGTTGCTTGGAATCTCTACCTCTGGTGTGTGATTATTAGTGCAAGCATGTGTGTGCCCTGCCACTGGATGCAGCCTGGCCTTGTGCCCTGTGCTGCCGGGGATGGGGTCCAGGGAAGCCCACACTGGAAAGGCATTTGGAAGAGGGGTGACTGGATGGATACCTAGAAATATACCTATTTAGTTTCCAGTGGAGAAAGTGCTGTATTTTGAACAATATTCAAATGAAAAGCTTGTGTCCATCTGTACTGTTGAATGTGCCTATAATGAGAAGGTTAAGACTGTATGCATTTATATTTAAGATATTCAAATTACATAAGGTAATGAGAATATGACTCGAATATACGGGGTTCTGAATAATTCTCATAAATCCTGCTGAACATTTAATCAGGACATTTGCTAATTTATTCTCAACAGTTAAGATGTGAGAAATCTTGAATCTGTTTTTCTGCCTGGAGCTGTGCTCTTCGTGCCCAAGCCTGCGGAGCGCCACCCCTGGGCTTCATGGGAATGTTGCGTCCCTGTACACCTGCGGGGAAACCAGAAGCCGAGACGCCGCCGTTGTTTTCCTCCTGCCTGCCGTCTTCCCCCCCTGCTGCCGTTTTCTTCTTCACACTCCTGCCCTTGTTCAGAAGCAGCCTGCCTGCAGGTTCTGTTTGCAAGGTGTTAATTGCTGAAATACCACCTGCTGGCACCCATCCCTGGAGACGTACGTGAAGAACAGACTGATTTGATATGCTGGACAGGCAGCTCCTTCAAGCTACACAATTATTTCTGAGGCCTGAATTAAATTAATTAAGCCATCCATCCATCCATCCATACATTCCGCCTCTAGCTGCTTATCCTGGCCAGAGCTGCAGGGACCTCGTACTCTTTTCCATACAGCACTGGGCACGCGGCTGAGGTGCATCCTGGGTGGGATAGCAGTTCCCTTGGGGATGAATTAAATTAGTGGTAAAATGCACAACAGACCAGTATTATAGGTGGTGAAAGCCCAAGGATTTGTGGTTCTCTAATGGCTTAACCCCCTTTTTCCCGTTAGAAGGATTCACACTCACTGGGGTGCGTGGTGTCTCCTGCACCAGCACACGATTAGCACATCACCCTGCACAACAGGAAGTGTACGTGCTTGTTTCCTGTGCATGCAGATTGGCTTCCTCTGAAGCTCTTATCTCCTGACTGCATGCTACTCCTTCTGAAGTAAGGCTTGGATTACAGGAAATGTTGTTATATGTGGTGTTTGTGCACAAAATATTTTTTAATTTTTATTTCAAATCTTTGTAGGGTTGCACCACAAAAGAACCTTGAGGAAAAGATTTCCTTTGTGAAGTTTTAAAAAAAATATTTAGCTCCTGGAAGGTGCCATCATGTCTCTGTAAAGCAGCTTGCTTGAACATTTTTGAATATATTACTGCTGCTTCGGTTTCAGTTTCATGTCATACTGACATAGACACCGGCTTCTTCAAAGCAGCCACAGGATGTTTGCCGCTGTATGAGTGTCTGCAGGAGGCACTCAGGACCACTGATTGTCACATTTCCCAGTGAGGAACACATCCCGGCCCGGTCGGCTCTGCTGTGTGACTCACCGGCACTAAAGAGCGACACACATGGGATGCAGAGGATGGACGCGGTCTCACTGCAGCACCAGCACCGTGGGCAGGAGAGATGATCTTCCTGTTTGCTTTAATGAGCCCGTTAAAGCGGCATGGCGTTCCTCTCTCAGACGTGAAAATGAACAAGCAGCTGGCCTTGAGCTGAGTCGTTATTATTCTAATGAGGCCATTTTTATGAACCTTCACTCATGTTGATGCTCAGTTGAAGTTTGTCCCATTGGTTGCCAAGGGCGATGCTTCAATTCCGGACTGAATGTTTTTGGATTTTATTGGACTCCCGAGCAAGACGCTCAGCTGAATTATGCCAGTAATGTCCCCTTCTGTAAATGGGATTCATATATAAAAAATGCTAAATCATTCTGGATGGGTCTATCTTCTAAGAAAATCATGATGTAAAAATGCACAAGGTCAATGGGCTGAGTTGCTAACTGTTTTCTAACAGTAGGGGGTGATGCTTGTCCACCTTATAGAGGCGATTCTGTTGTAAGTTGATATTTGCTTTTGAGAGGTGGTCCACTCATGGTTGATGCAGTGGAGTGTGTTGAGTGCTGTTTTCTAACAGCAGGTGGCACTGTTCGTAAGTCTTACAGTGGTGATTCTGTTATCAGCTGATATTAGTAGGGGATAGATGGTCCTCTGATAGCTGACATGATTCAGAGTCAGACACTGTTTTTTAACAGTTGGGAGCACTGCCGGTAAGCATTAGAGCAGTCATTCTGTTTCCTGCTGTTAGCAGTACATAGGTAGGTCTCTGGTAACTGATCCTTGCTGTGTCTCTTGTGGTCTGGCTAAGTAAACAGATGTATTCAGATGGAAGTCCATGCGCTTGCATGCTCACCTTACTTAAACACTTTATTGACTGTTTTTACAATACTACGAAGGGGTTTTATTTCATAAAATCCTTCGCACATCTAGCAGATTATCCCTGCCTGTCTATATCTGTGTGTACATTTGGGTTCTTGCCCGGTGCTTTTATCTAAAGTGACTCATCCCTATTTATGTTGCTGCATATTTACTCCGGCCTCAGATACCCCCTACTAGGTCATAAACATGGTACCTTCCATCTATGAGTCTGCCTCTAAGAGCTATATTAACTATTAACCTCCTATTCCAACCCCAAAACATGTATAATAATAACAGCTGTATGTAATAACTGTATGGTGCAGATTCGCAGACATTAAAACTGGCCAATTCATGTCCAAAAATCTGCTTTTTGACAGGTTGTACAGCTGACATATAGACGCAGATTAGTTGAGGACATTTGACCTGCTTCTGCTGGAGGCTCTTGATCCCTGATGAAATACCAGAAGCTTCCGTTCCTTCTCTGATGGTTGCCTCATTTCTCTCTTTAAAGACAGTGCATCCATACTGCATGATGCTAACAGGTTTGTATGAATCTCTTCTGCTCACCGGATGTGTCAGTTTACGTGCTACACAAAGCCAGACATGTACAAAGAAATCAGAATTCAGTGAAATGTCTAATCCAATATATATTAAATGTGTGAATTGTTTTATGCTAAAATGTAAAAACATTCTATGAATATGAACTGGAAACAAACAATTTAATATAGTTTGAAATTTAAGGACTGTCAGACCTATACATAGATAGTTCCTTATTTGCTTGGATAATGATGGTGTCCCGTCCCGCCCCACCCTCACCCACAGAAAACGGGATGTCACTTGGAATGAGAGTGTCTACTAGACAAACTCACCAAAATTACTCAAAATAGTTTAACGGTAGGGCAGAAATGATAACAGCTAATTCAGTCCTGTCTGGGAGCTCCAGATTTGTAGGGCACCAAGAAGCATGAGCCATTAAAAGCAGCCGTTAGTCTCTATAACACAGTCATTAGCTTCTGAGTGTGGCCCCTGCTGCCTAGAACACTGGCTGCCCTCCCATTGGCTAGGGCCAGATGTGGCCAGCATGTGTGCCTGCTGGCTGCTCTCCCATTGGCTGGGGCTGGAGGTGGCAAGTGTGCGTTCCTCCTGGACACGTGGTCATCCACTGGCTGGGGCCGGAGGAAGCCAGCATGCGTGCCTGCTGACTGCTCTCCCATTGGCTGGGGCTGGAGGTGACCAGGCTGCCGAGTCGAATTTTGCTGCCACCCCTCTTGCCCCTGGATAACTGGCTAAAGGTTAGCCTGTATTGTGGTTGGGAGATCCGGGATGGTCTTCAGAGAACCAAAATAGGGACAGGCTCTTCCAGTTTGTCTTTTTAGGTGCCAGCCAGACAGCTGCATAGCTGAGATCAACCAGAGAATGGGGCTGTGGATGGATGGACTTCTCCAGGGCTGCTGGAAGTAATTTACAGTATATACTATCATAATCTTATGCTATGGTAGAGCTTAATTTGCCTTTAACGTAAAATGATCAAATTTACTCAGTTAAATTCAGGAATGTTCTTCATTTGGACAATCCAATCAACATATAGAATGTACATGTAGTTCATTATTATTTATTTATATTAAATCCTTTGGGATATATTAACACACCCTCAAATTAGATTACATTTTTTTTTTAGAAATACACTGTACTTATATGGACGTAACACAAGTAGCCTTAAAATAATCCCAGGGACACATAATAATAGATAGCTTTGTTTAACCTGCTTGACCCAAATCCTGCAAAAAGCTATTTCGTGCTGCTCTCCTTTTACTTACAGGGACTAATATGTCGTCTGCCATGTGTTAAAGAATTTTGTTTGAAATTGTCTCTTTTCAGTGTAATGTTGAAATTTCTTTGACATGATCACGTCCAATAAGGGGATCAGTTAGAGTCATAGCGTCAAAGAATAATGTAACATCTTTCAATCATATTAAAGTTTTACAATGGCTGCATTATTTAGAATTTGTTCAAGAAAATGTCAGTGTGACTTATTGTAAAAAGGATTCAGATCTGCTAAATGCATTCTTCAGTAATAAAGTTTTAATCTGCTGAATGTAATTATAGCATTTGTAATGTCACGGGGATGGTGATTCATCAGGCTATATGGGGAGAGATCCTGCAAAGCTTACGTGAGTCAGGGAGGTGGGCAGCTGTGGGTGCCGGAGTCTGGGCATGTGTGTCTCAGCCCTGATATATGACCAGCCAGGGACTGCACTGTAAGGCCAAAATCACACCAACTTGAGGTGAAATTGAGCTTCCTAAATCACTCTTCACCTTCTCTCGTTCGAAATCTAACCAGAAATTCTTGTGATATTCATCAAAGCATGAAAGGTGACACCAGCCCTGTGTCAGACTACA